AAACCACCAAAGTATTAAGGCTATATCTTTCATCAACCTGGGCTTGAAGCTTATGAAACATGCCACTATCTGTAAAGTAGTGGTTGCAAAAAAACTAATATTTTTTTTTAGAAAGATCTTGCTCCTTAAAGCTCAGTTTTAAAAAGACAGAAAGCTCTTTCCTTTTTTTGTATATGACGATTATGTATAAAAAGAGGTCAGGGATGAGTAAGAATGTTCCTGGTGTTCATAGGAATAGAAACAAAGGCAGACAATTGAAGACATTTTATTGCTTTTTGGTCAGCAGCGAAGGTGGGGGAAAGAAAACATGATGAAACGACACCCAGTTCACCCATAAAAACGGTGAAGTACTCATGAAAGAAGATTGATGTTGCAAGTATCTGTGAAAAATAGTTAAAGGTGTCCGAATGGTTTCGAAAGAGCCTACATCCGGTGCTCTGTGCTGCCTGTGTGTGGGTTATATTCATTTGACCAGCCAGCAGGTTGTTTCCCTGTCCAAAATGGACTGTGACAGTAATCAGATTAACTTAGACTCATGTCTATTCCACCGCTCGGGAGCAGTATCTTGTTGTGGGGGATGAAATTCGGGTTAATACAGTATTAGTGCTCATTGTGAATTATGATTGGCTTTGTATGATGGGGGAGTCATCAGCTGGCCCGAGATTCGCCGGTGAATGTGTATTGGTTTTGCGTGCGTCACGCACACAAGCACACACAAAATGTGAGGAGAAAACCTTTGTTTAATGATTAGTGTTTTTAGAAGGATGAACATTTCTGTGATGCGTTAGCAGAGGAACTGAGTGTTTGTTTTGTGCCACTTCTACAGGTCTCAGGCTGCCAAGACTGCCATGTAAAATCTGCAGTTACTGGGTAAGCCTCACCTTTCGTTGTAGCTGAGTTAATGTATCAGGCTAAAACCAGGCGTCTGGAATATAAGGTGGGGAAGGGTCCGCAGAGTGAGCTTTAGCTGTCAGGAAATAATGTAAAAGAACATCATTTCCATAAGACATATTACAAAAAGCCTGTCACTGATTGATTTTGGGTGATTTTGCGCCCATGTAGCTGTGAACTGTGGTTTTAGATAATGTCCATCAGACATGTCACAGTAAAGAAAAAAAAACAATAAAATTGAGGATTGTTCTTTTTTTTGTGATACAAAACATTGCTGTGTGCATATGTACAGATGTATCTCAGACACTATAGAGACTATATCCCACTTGGTGATCATCATTTTCATATTTTAGAAGAAAAGCTTTAAAAATAATAAAAAATCAGGTTTGAAATTCCATGGAGTGACCGTGTTAATGCATTTTATATCAGGCCAATCGCATTTCACACGTTCGCTGTAATGTCACAATTTATAAGGACTGCAGCCATCCTGACCATATCTGACTAGATATAATGATAAAAGCACACCATAAATATTCTATTTCACATTAAGCACTGACCAGCTATCTGAAGCATCGTCATGGATTTATGTCATAGATTTACTTTGACTTGGGCCAAGTTTTGCCATCCAAAATCCCTCAAACCTCATAATTTTCTATTAGTTTGTATGAATGCTGATAAACGCATTTTCACACCAGCCAACTTTGGACAGGATTTCTGTTAAAGGGGTCTCAGCTGAAGGACATCCCTATTGTTTCACTAACCAGCAATCAGATCCTTTTGGGATGTTCTTTTAATGATGAGATGCACACGTCACAGAGGTCTGTCTCATAAAGAATAGTTACTACATACTTACAATGTTCTAACCCTCAAAAAGTCAATATCCCTTTTGAAGTAGTTGTTGATTACAGAAGCCTTTACAAATCATTTGGGTTGGCTTAGCTTTGTGTACAGTCCTGCCCCCAATGACATATTGACGTGTCCTGGCTAATGTATAATTAGTGATCCAGGCTGGGGTTGTTTTTCATCAGTGTTTCTCTTGCAGCGTTACGTGATGCCCTAAAAGAGCAGCGGCCCTTTTAAAGAGGGCCTCTTAACGTGGCAGAGGAAAGAGTCTAATGTAAACTCAACGTGATGGCTGCTTCATCTCTAATCTGCCACTGAAAATCTTGTTATGTCATCGCTCTGCAGATTATAACAGTCTAACACCTCCTGAATCATCTTGGCAATGCGCAGTCTGCCGAGAGCAGACAACCAGATGATTGATTTTGGACTTCTTTAAGCATGCTTGGAGAACCCTGAGCTGGTTCCAACACAAGGCTTTTAACACTAGAAGTCCCAGAGAATTTCAGTTTTCCTACCTTGCTTACTGTCCCTAATGTAAAGCAAATAACCTGTGATATGACCAGTCCCTGTCATGAGATCGGATAAAGGCTGAAACAAGAACAAGAGCATGTTCAAAGCACCTTTCGTTACCTGCCCCTGCAACATCAGACCTTTTTGCAGGAATATATTAATAAGTCATATCTAAATCTGTTATTTAGGCAAAGCTATTAAACAACCAGATATCATACGAGTCCTAGTTCCTGAGCTGAGAAAAGGTCTTAACCATGCTTTTCCAACAAGGCAAGGCAAAGCCTATTTCTATTGTCCATTCACCAACCGACTCATTTATATTGCAAAGCTCACCATATCAAAGAAAGAACAACTTAGAGAATAATTGTATTTTGTCTTGTCTCACCTTTTCGTGTCATTCAACATTTCATCTTAGAAAATGATAAACAGTATGACTTTAGTATTGGACTAACATTATGTAACACAATGAAAAGCACTATTCTCCTCATCTCAAGATGCTGTCTCATGTTTTCTTCCTTTTTGCTTTTTCTTGCATAAACCTGTTACGAAGTTCACCTGCAAGTCACAGAATGAACTTTTGTCGACTCTCTTTGGACTTTGCGCATCAACCAAATCCTTTGGATGCACGCCTGTTGCAGCCATGTTCAGCCATGTCCAGCCATGTCCAGCCAGGTCCAGCCATGTCCAGCCAAAGCGCCTAGTCTCCTTTTTTAACCCTCCTTTAATGACAAATTAAGATGCTACTCAGTGGGTTTAGTGATCCATGTAGCTATTTCTTCTCCATTATTAAAACATTAGCCGGGAATGAATTAGTTTATTGCACGAAGGACACTAACTGTTATCTAAAATGTACTGAAATTAATAGGCAGAAGGTTTAGCATCTGCTCCAAATACCCCTCTAGGCTAAACTATGAACGACACGGTGATTAAATCTATATTATTTCCAGTTCTATTTCTATCCACCATGAAATGTTCAAATTGAAAGCCTGAAGAAATCCTAACTTTTATTTGCCTGTTTTAATTCTCAATAACAATGTTGCATTAAAGAGCAATTTTGAAGGGGATTACTTGTAATTCTTGGAAGTGGATATGATCCAGAGCCCCTGTAGGCAAAGGCTTCAAACTGCGTGCTCCAAACTGCAAAACCTCTTCATTTTTATTCACTTCATCTCTCTATTTATGAAAGAGGCGTTTATCCAAATTTCTTTAAATATTTATTCTTTTGAGCATCCAGTATTGCTTCCATTACAAGAATGACAAAGTCCCCATTTTATCCTCTCGTTGGAAAGTTTTTCAGATTAGTAGTTGCCGTATATAAGTGCATTTTAGAAGAGTTGTGCTTTACACTCTGTTATGTTAAATGTTCTGCTGTATTAGACAATAACACAACCCTTGTGCGGATTAACAATAGATCTTTTGATTGCAAACTGTATGTTGACGTGTTTAGTGATCATTTCCTGGAAAACAATGACCCATCCTTCACCCAGGGCTGTTCACTACATATGACCCAATGATATGGATGTAATCTAATAAGGAAACAAGAACAACAAAAAAGAAAACAATATAGGTGTCACAAAAATAAATGTGAGCCCTGCCCAGACTTTGATGGACAGGTAAAGGCAAGGTGTCATTATGGTCTCTACACTCGAAATAAAAACTTCATGTGTTCATGTGTGTTGTGTGCCCAGCTGTCTAAGCATTGTTCGTGTAAAGATACAAAAGCCGTTCGACCATTTCTTGGTTGAAAGAATGCTTATGAACCGCTCAAGAGTTTTGTGGTAAAAGATATTTAGGACATTTGGTTGCACCATTGCTAAATCTCAGAGCTTCAAGTTGTACTTAAAGGGGAAAACTTGCCGTCTGTCGCCACCTTGTGAGAGGCCCTCCCATTAGGAATTCTCTAAGATATACCCAATAAAAAAGGGTTTTTGGTTTATTTGTAGTTTTTTACATTTTTTTAAATGAATTTGATTTTGATTCTGAGAGTTTTTTGTTCTACATCTTAATGCCTTTGTGGAATCCACCACTGTTCTTTGGTTGAACTTGGAAAGACTGGCTGCCCTTGTGAAAAGGCCAGCCTGTTCCGAAATCCTGAAGAACAGTATTAGTAACAGTTTCTTTGATGTCGCTATGGGATGGACATGTGATGTATCAACAGAGACTGGGAAATGAAAACGAAATGCATCAAATCTTAGAATGATAAGGCAATACAGAAATTAATCTAGAAAATTGACAAACAATTCGAGACAGCCTGATCTTTTTCCATGCTCACCCTTCATGCATCCATTCATACACACATAATCTTATTTATTGTAATTAAGCAAACAAATTAGCCATACATGCTACTTCTTCAAGCAGTGTATCTCATTCTAAGACTAGGGATGAGCATGTGTGTTTTAATCCTATTGACTTTTTCAGTGTTTTTAAATGCTAATGATTGTGACTCATATTTAAATTTTCTTCTTTTTCATTACAATTAAATGTAATTATTATAATTTATACTCTAATATCATATAAAAAATGTAAAACCCTTGAAGACAGTTAGCAGCATGGTTAACACGCTGCTTATAATGCAACCTGTCATCAGGGTTTTTAAACATTTTTTTGTGTCTTAACACTTTTTGTCTTAATGGTATTTTTTTACTTGTACTACGTCTGACCTCATCTAACTTTGGTGAACACGTCAACTCACAAACATCTGTATCTCTGTCTGTATATTTCACAAAGTCTTTTTTCTCTTTTTTCCCTCAATTTTCCCAGTCCTTTCTGTCTGATGGGAGAATGAGGAGGAGGAGGAACTGGAAAACCTTGGAGCGCCTGGGAAAGTTTCAGTGAAGCCTCAATGAAAGCATCAAAAGAGCTTCAATAGTGTTTGACTCAATGGCCAAGAAAGGGCGATCGAAGGGCGAGAAGCCCGAAGCGCTCATTTCTGCCTTACAGGCAGCCAATGAAGATCTCAGGTCCAAGCTGACTGACATTCAGATAGAGCTACACCAAGAAAAATGCAAGGTGCGGTGCAAAACATCTGTTGAAGTTGAAACATTGTATTAAGCCTTTCAAGCAGCTCTGATTCCAGGATTGATAACTGGTCAAATAAAGTTAAACAAACAGAAACTTTACATGGAGTACCGTATAGCGTGTTCAAAACTAAACCAACCCCCTTTTCCCACTTTCCCATTTGTTGCTCTCCTCACAGGTGAGCAAGCTGGAACGCGATAAGGTGCAGGAGGTGAAGCGGGTGAGGGAGCAGGAGCAGCACCGCCACACCGCCATGCTGACCGAGCAGCGGGCCAAGTGGCACGAGGAGAAGCAGAAGGAGCTGCAGGCTCTCCGGGAGAACCTGACCAGGCAGCACGAGCAGGAGCTGGCCCGCCACGCCAAGATCAAAGACCAGGAGAACCAGAGGCTCAAGGCCGCGCTGAACGCCATGCGAGACGGCAGCGGGGAAAAGGTGGGGCTAAGCCACGGGAGGGAAGCTTGTATAGAAAAATAAAGGGATCGTTCAAGGGAACGCTTTCATTTTTACCCCCCGCCATTTTCTCCCTCAGGTACGCACGGCTCTGACCCTGGAGGCTAAGGAAGATGCCCGTCGCTTCTTCGACCAGGAGAGAGTGAAGCTCCTGCAGGAGATCGCGGAGCTCAAGTCCACGAAGAAGCAGACGGACGAGGCGCTCAGCAACATGATCCAGGCGGACAAGATGAAGGCTGGAGACCTGCGGGTGGAGCACCAGCAGCATCAGGAGCAGATCTCCAAGATCAAGTGGGACTGTGAGAGGGACATCCGCAGGCTGGTATGCATAGCCACTCCAACCCAACACTGTAAACCCAATTTACAGAAGAATTTTGCTACTGAGATTTTCAATCCATAGAAAATAAATAAGGAAATAAATATCCCAAGGTTCCCCGGCTTCCTTTTATTGTCCCTGCCTGATGATCAGTGGTAGCTGGGATAGGCTCTAGACAACATCAACAAGTTGTAAAACGCCATTTAGTGCTTTTAAATAATCATATTGGAGTCAAAAACCAGTTCATAGAATCTAACCACATATTTGGAAATTTTGGGTCCCTTAAAAAATAAATCTAGGAAATCATTTTCCTGTACGTCCATGTATCTTCTTATCCATCTATTGACTTAGAATAACATTTAGGCTGCTTATTTTTTGCCAGCAATGACAGAACTACTCTTCCTTCATCTTTTCCTTCACTATAGGTGGATGAAATCAAATCTAAAGACCGCACTATTTTTGCTCTGGAGAAGGAACTGGAGTCGACAGCGGGCTTCCTACAGAAGCTCCAGCTTCAGAAAGATGCGCTGGATGAACAACTGTTCCTCGTCAAGGAGGCTGAGTGCGGCCTGGGAAGCCCAAAAAGAGAGATTCCAGGCAGAGCCGGAGATGGCGCAGAGCACTGTGGCAGCCCCGTGAGTAGAACGAAGGGCCTAGATAGCTTTATACATTTCAAATGTAAATACATTTTAGGGGGTACTCAAATACCTGTTCCTCTGGTTTTTTCTGTTGAAGTCAATTTTTTTAAAACTCTGAAGCCATTTACAGCACTGCCTTAGTTGCCTTATTTTTTACTAGATTTTTTTGCAAGAGGAATATATATATATATATATATATATATATATATATATATATATATATATAACAATCATAAATGATTGGCATTTGTTTTCTCTTAAGGACCTGAGGAGAAATCAGAGGCGCATGGCCGAACTCAACTCTACCATTCGCAAGCTGGAGGACCGTAATTCGCTGCTAGGGGATGAGAGGAATGAACTAGTATGGCCAAATCATTGGACTGAAAATCAAATTATTTTTATTTTCCCATGTTTTTTTTCTTTTCCCTCAAATCTCTCCCAGCCTTGGTCTTCTGGTCAGCTCTTTGCATTTCAATTTCACTCTTCTCCCCTCCAGCTGAAGCGAATTAGAGAGTCAGAAAAGCAGTGCAAGCCTCTGCTGGACAAGAACAAGCTGTTGACAAAGAGGAATGACGATTTGACCCACACCATCCAGAAGCTGGAGGAGAAACTGAAGAGTCTAACAAAGGAAAACGCTGAAATGGTCAGCCCCAAGTCCCATCAGCATCACACATGCCGGTCGGTGGTTCAGTTGATCTGCAGTTGACCTCTTGGATTGTTTTGCACTTGCAGAAGGAGAGGATAAGCTCCCACCCGCCTCTGAAGAAGCTGAAGTCCCTGAATGACCTGGACCAGGCCCACGATGACCAGGAAATAGCCTTTCTCAAACTCCAAGTCCTGGAGCAGCAAAGCATGATTGATGAGCTAACAAGAGTATGTATCTCCCCAATTATGTTTACTTGCAGTTTTAGGAGTATGCAGCGTGTAGTTCCATGCAATAAAGTATTAACAAGCACTGTAAAATTCCAATTTTCCACCTCTTTTCTGTTTGATGAGTGTAAAACAGGTGAAATTATCATAGACATTTTGACTCTTCTTTATTGTGCCTTTGACCCGGCTACTTTAGAAGCTACTTATGCTTGGGACAGCCAACAGAAACGCTCGCAGACATATCGGTTAAGATCAGATGCTTGTGTGATTCACTTTGCTTATCTTAGGTTGACATTTTAAGGGTTGATCTGTGATGGCTTTTTCATCTAATTCAATTTCATGGCAGATTAACGCAGTACCCATGCAGCGAAAGGACTCTAATCTGCAAGTTAGGATGTTTATGCAACGCAGGATCGGGTTTGATTTAAGGGCAACCTGGACCATCGCTCCCTGTCAGAACCTGACACCACCTATGCTGAGAACGTTTCTCCTCAGGCAGAATCTGAGCGAAATATTAAGAAAGCAGTCAAACCTGTGGGTGCAGACAGGCTCTTATTTAATCAACAGATAATTCTGGAAAGAACAGCCCACACAGGGGAAAATAATGTAAGCAGCAACATGGCTGGTCCAAATATGTGAAACACTCGTGGAACTGTTCCTTTACTTTTTTAGACTCAAGCAGCACTCCCAGGCAAAACTATCTCACTCAAAATGTAGCTTTACAATATCAGATATAAAGGAAGAAGACTGTAGACCTTGACATAAAAAACGCTGAACAAGTGCTGAAGATGTGAGCAATACAGTTCAATCGAGCTGCGTAAATTCCAACACACAGACAAACAAGAAGAGTGATTTGAGACAGGGAGTAAAGTAGTAGTTTACAGAGGAAATGGCCTAATTCGTTTTACATCAGACACAGTGATGTCCTGGCTTTGGTTTCCAGGTGACCCCTTCTTGGTCATGTGGTCCTAATGAATTAAAACAATGTCCATGTAGTACAACAAATAGCTCAGTTATTTAACTTATAGTGTAAATGAATTTCCTTATCTCATAAATTACAATCCCACAGTCTAGGCTTAACAATCATGCGAAACAACTAACGTGCAATATCAGATTTTCTCAGCATTAACTCAGTCAAAGGTTAGACCTCAGTTGTTATACAGTATATGATCATAGAAGGTAACAAACAAGGGGGATATTATAATAAATAATATATTTGATTCCAAGTTTTTCTCTCATGTTCGATCCTCACGGTGGTGTTGTGCGAGTAGTGTTACATGTTCTGTGCTTGTGTGTTTTTCCAGGATCGTGAGAAGCTACTAAGGAAGAAGAGGCATAAAAGAAGTTCCCGGCCAATAAAGGTAGAAGTCTTTTACAGCTGAAGAGGCACCTGAAAAAGGGTTCTCTCCATTCTTCAGAGAGGGCAATTATGTTTTAAATTTCCATAATTGATGTCATTCCATGTGGAATAAGTGTTGCATACAGTTTAATAAATCAGAGAGTAGAAACAAAGACTGTTCACCGACTCACTAATGAATAAAGGGAGTGATTTTATAAAATGCCAAAGAGGCCAAAGATCTGACACATTGAGAAGACATTTTGATGATCTCATAATTGGACATTAGTTTGTCTGATCTTAACAAAACAACAAAAAATGTTTGGGTCTTCTTTCTTTTCAGAGGCCCATCGTAGTCGACACCTTCTTTGGGTATGATGAGGAGTCTATGGACTCCGAGACGTCCTCTGTGGCGTCCTTCCGCATGGACCGGACCCCGGCCACTCCCGATGAGGACCTGGCTGAGGTAACGGCTCTTGTTAAACAATAGTCAAAGACGGTTTGGACGGAGCACCAGCGTCCAGGTGTGCAAGTTATATATGGAACTTTCATCTACACGCTCTGTGTTGAACAAGGGTCTTGCCAATGAGGAAGCTGAGTTACGGTTCCGGCAGCTGACCAGGGAGTACCAGGCCTTACAGCGAGCCTACGCCCTGCTGCAGGAGCAGAAAGGAGGCATCCTGGATGCTGAGATGGAAGCGAAGGTAAAGATGTGGGAAAAAAAAACACTCCAGGTGGTTTGTTTTGTCAGGCTGTGTCCGACGGCTGCCGCAAGAATGAAGGAAATGAGTTGGAGATCATTTGATTGTCCCTGGCCAGAGGCAAAAACTCGAGCACATGACTCTGAAAAGAGCTTTGTCATGCCATCTGTTGTAAGAAACGTAGACTGTGTGGAGACCATGTTAACGTTTCTTATCTGGTGTGTCTCCCGTTTAACGGGGTGAAATTGTGTTTTTCTGGTAAGCGAGTATCAAAGTTTATGAGGACATCTCTGCCCGTTAGGCTGCCTCGAGCTTCTGTACATTAGAATATTTTCTGCTGTATTATTTACTATAATCACTCTCTGTGCATCGAGTGCTGACTGCCTTGTGATCAACTGGCATGCATCATAGAGCATTTCCCTAAGGGGAGGTTGTGGTCACCCAGATCTGAACATTTCTAAGCCCATGAAAAGCCCCATTCGGGTAAAAGAGTTTTAGGGATTCGAGTTTTCTGCTTCAGTTCCAAGCCAAACTTTGTGTAACGTGCAAAGGTCATTTAGCTACACACAGTACACATGCTGCTCCTGCAATGGCTTATAACACCACAACTGTAACAATATACAACTGTAACAATATAGGACAAACACAGCTGGCACACAGTCCAACTAATTCATGGTGGACATGCCAGTGCTTCCGCACTTCCTCTCATTTTGCATTCAAAGAAAATACATGTAGTTTTAAGTTATTAAACTAGAAGAAGGGATGGACAAAAAAGGTTTATTTGACAAAGGGACCTCTAAGAGCTAAAGACGGTGTTTTGCTGATGTTTCAGGCTCATGAGCAGCTGCAAGCAGATGTTCTCAGGTATAAGGCCAAAATAGAAGACTTGGAGAAGGAGATAACACAAAAAGGACAGGTAAGAGGTGCATGAATACACAGCTGCATATGCACCTAAATAAGTCTGCATGACAAAAACTTTGAGGTCACAGTTTTAGGCCAAAAGGCAGGCCATAACACCGTTTTAGGTGTTATGGACCAGTTTTTCTACTTGGACAATTTTGACTTAAAAGAGATGTTTTTGCTCTTCAACCAATTATTTTAGTTATTTGATTTACCAATTGGCTTCAAGGGTAAACGTTGTGCTTGCCATACTTCCAGTTTGCAAGTTTGACTCCCATGTGGGTCGGATTTCAGCAACAACCAATGTCTCAGTTAAAGAATAACAGATTTATGGGCCAAAAACCAACTTATTTTATGAAAATAATCTGTCAGGCTTCTTTTACTTTCCACCTGCAACCAAGACCAGCTCAGATGCGATTAGTCAATACACGTTGAACCAGAACAACCAGAAACCTTCCCTTTTCACCACCTAGTCCACTGCCAACACTTTCTCTTTGATTTGTAAAGGAGACATTTGGTTGTAGAGATTCAATTCTGTTAAACTATCTGGTGTTCCAGCCCATGTTCTCACAGAGGGAAAGGAACACAGTATCATCCAGAAGCTAAAACAATAAACCCGGCTCTCAGGTGATGAGATAATCGAATGTTATTTAAATTTTGTGGGACGTTGTGGAGGAGATAGTGGTCAGACTCACCTTTGCTGCCTCTTATCGGAAATTTATTAACAGGAGCAATACCAACACAAATACACTGCTGTTGCCCAGGACACGCTCAAAGGAATTTGTTTGTTTTTCTCACAAAAAAGACAGTAATTGCATTTAGATTGATAATCCAAAAATAAAATCTCAATATAGCGATAGATATAACCATTTCTGATTATATTTATGCATTTGACAGTCTGTGCTACATGTCTATCTTCTTCAAAAAGCTTCAATTGGTTAAACCGTCATCTGTCTTTCAGGACTCCAAATGGGTTGAGGAGAAGCAGCTGTTCTTACGAAGGAATCAGGAGTTGTTTGACAAGGTTGGATTAACTTATTTCTTATTTCAGTCATTTTTAGATTGTGAAGTTTATATTCACTGCACACTTTGAATTAGGAATGTAATAAAGAAAGTATGAGTAGAATAATTGGAAACTGCTAATGCCATTTAATTTTCTTGATTTTGTTCAGGTGGAAAAGGTGGAGTCGGAATCCAATCGCCTACATCAGGAGCTTCAAGACTCCAAGGACCAAAATGAGCTGTTAGAGTTCAGGATACTGGAGCTGGAGGTGAGTCTGGAGAGTATCCTCAAGAGAACCCTTATCATGTTAGAAAACAAAGACTTTGTTTTCTAACATAAGGGTTTCTGAACACGGTTGAACGTGGACAGGTTTTCTGTCAATCTCAGATTTCTGGTTTCTTCGGAATCCCGCTGATCTAAAAACAAATCCTGTGGTCAATTTCACAGGAATTAGATCTTTTTACCTGCACTGATTTTTTATCTTTCCAAAGCTCCTGGCAGCAAATCCATTTCACTTGATGGTGGAGAAATGAGGAATTTTTATTTGACTTCTTCATGCAAGAGATGCCAAGGGTTTATTTTCTTCAGTGTATCGCTTTGGTTTGCCATCATGAAAACAAGGCTCTGATTCTAATTCATTTGGAATGTTCCACAGAAAGTAATTTATCCGCCACACTAAAATTGAAAAAAAGAAGCGTTGGTTTGTCTGACCCCTTTTGTAGCTTCAGTTATCTGATAAACTAATTTCCTGGAGGTCAGTGTCTCATTGATTGTGTAGTTCTCTGAACTCTGATTTTTGCATTTAGTTTGGAGCAGGTTAAAATATAGCAAGATATAAAAAACGGCAACACATTTGAATGAAAGGAGTAAAAAAAAAATCAGTGTTTAAAAGGTGACTCATTGTGTTGGCCCAAACACAAACTCAAAATGTGTAAATCCTTCGTGAATCCATCCATTGTTGTCATTTTGTAACTAATGAAACTCAGCCAGCTTATGTTCCTCAGGCTAATAACTAGCTGGTGTCGCCTATGAGATCAATCTGGCGGCAGCCTGGTGCACATGTGCCCAGCGCTGGTGGCACATTTGTCTTTTACTTTTGTTGTCTTTCATTTTCCTGCCATCAACCATCAGAATTGGTCATGTAACTCTAAGCTAATGCTATTGGAATAATCTATTTTGCAATAGTCTTATTTATTAGTGTATTTTAGTAAAACGCTTTGATCAGACTGTGGTTGGTGAAGAAGTTGGGAGTGACTAAGATGTGGCTCTCTGTCGTTGTAGGAGCGAGAGAGAAGGTCCCCTCCGTTCAACCATTTGAGGATGCATCCGTTCTCTGACGGAGTCAGTGCTCTTCAGATCTACTGTATGAAAGAGGGGGTAAAGGTGAGACCTGGTGCTTTAACTCTGTCAACCCTCACAATATCTTTTCCAGTTACAACCAACTGTAGGCCATGAAAAATGAAATAAAATCAATTTAAAGATTTTATTCTATTCTCCTTACAGGATGTGTGCATACCTGATCTCATCAAACTATTAGATATCCTTGGAGACAATGGGGTAAATCAGAAAAAAAACCTTTTTAGCATGAAATCCTAAAAGAGGCGCATCACTAATATTTTTTTTACATTTTTGTGCAGAATCTGAGAAACGAGGAACAGGTGGCTATCATTCAGGCCAGCACAGTTTTGTCACTAGCCGAAAAGGTGAGCGAAAAGGCTTCAACCTGATTTATTCCATGTTATTCAATGTTTTTTTTTGCCGCACTGACTTCAGTTCTGCTGCTTGTTGCCCTCTAGTGGATTCAGCAGATAGAAGGGACGGAGGCAGCACTGCATCAGAAGATGATGGACCTGGAGATAGAGATGGTGGGTACTAACGTTTCTATGTGTATGTGTGTGCGATATGGTTTGATAATCTATTCATCTCCCACTGTGCCCAGAAATGACCCTGCCAAATCTAGTTTAACCAAAAGAAACAAAAAAGAAAAATCTATCTCAAATCTATGAATACATCAATGTAAAATCGCTATGGTTTAGCCACCCATTTATTTTTTTGTACTTATTTTGCGGGTGGGATTGCTTGGCCAATACTGTGAGAAGACATCCCCAGACTTTTTCTCTGCTCAGCCACCTCTTGAAGCTTCCCAAACCAGGAATTGTCAAACCATTTAAAAAAATACACTCCATCAGATCCTGAATATTCCCCGATGCCTCCTCTTGATGGGAAAATATCTAAAAAACCTCCCATGGGAGACCACCTCAACTGTTTCCTTTCTATTTCTAGTATTCTGAGAAGCAGTGGCTCTTCTTTTGACCATAGATTAGAGGTTAGAGGAAGTGAGATCTATCGATAGAGCTGCTAAGAATGGGCTTTATTCTTTTTCATTCCATAACCCAGCTGTTTTCATGTCAGATCTGTGGTTCTCGCTATTCGTCTCTATAATGTGAGACACTTCCAGGGTCTCGAAATTAGTGGTGGGATTTCTATGTGGCAACAGCCCCACCTTATAGTTAAGATTCTTCTTCACCTTGAAAGCTCTAGTCAAGCTGTCACTCTCCCACTCGACCCTACCGCTAATTGTGATAAAACACGCAGGGATACTTAAGCTCCTCCACTTCAGGCAGCAGCTCACTCCAAGCATGGAGTGAGAAATCCACCCTTTTCAATGGTGGACCATGGGCTCAGACTTTAAGGAGTTAGTGTTTTTTCTTTCTTTTTAACAGTCGCTTCACACAGGACCTAAAACTACTTTGCATTCTGCGTGATGTGCATTCCTCGGCCGACCAAACTGGAGGCCCTTTGCCCCTTGCCGTGGCTGTGCTTAGAAATCCTGTTCATAAAAGCCACAACCAGAACCCATGACAAAAGATGAGCCACAGTAAAAACGAGTGACTGACAGCGGGATGTGCAGTTAAAGCCCTCACTCTGATTGTACAGGGACAAGCTTTAGAAAAAATGTCTATGTGGCATCAGAGATAGTCAGACATGGACACCACGAACCTTACAGGATTTACAGCTTCTCACAGCTTTATTGCAAGTGTAAATACAAGGAATTCATTGTCCATACCACTTACTATGAGTAGGGTTGGTGGGGGGGTTGGAACCTATCCCATCTGTCTTTGGGTGAGACGTGAGGTAAACCCTGTACTGCTTGCCAGTTACATAATAAACACCTAGCATGGTTACATTCAATGCAAATATTAATGCGTAATGTTTACTAATGTTTGTGTGAGTGTCCCAGTACAATCCATGGACTATAAAACTATATAACACATTATCATCTACTTTACAAAGTTATCACTAGTAAATCCGAGGGATGCTCTGAGGAATTTAATCTACCAAACTGACTGAAAATGATACTTAGATTATACTTAGACAATAACATTTTATTTTAATATCAGACTTCTAAACAGTGGACAGTTTACTAGCTGCAGTTCACTAAACCAATGTCTACTAAATGTGATGTCAAAGGGTGTCAATGAGTACTCATGACCCAGTTGATGTGTAATAGACTCGGTTCTCCTTTTCTTTCTCTCTAATCATCAACACAGGAGATGTTCTGCAAACAGAAAGGATATCTAGAGGAGGAGCTAGATTACAGGAAACAGGCCCTTGACCAGGCCTACATGGTATGTGCACATATTTATGCATTAACATCGGGATTAGGATTAGACAAATTACAATGAATATCATGACAATGTAAGATAGTCGGATGAGTTTCGGGATGCTATTTTTTTTTTTTTTTGCAGTAAAGACATACTAGTAAAAAACATCTTCTCTCTTGTCCACAGCAAATTCAAGAGTTGGAAGCAACGTTATACAACGCCCTTCAGCAGGACAAGGTTTGCCTTTTTTTTCTCTCTTAAACTGCATGACATTGCAGACGTATGTGTGACGGACATATTCAAAGTGTTTTCGGAAGTTTACAGAGTTCCAAGAAATTTGTCGTTTAAAAATAAGCATTAGTTTACAGTCATTCTTGTGAGTGAAGTGTGGAAAATATTTGGAAAAATTGGAATTAGTCAGTCAATTTTCATAGCTATTAACAATTGATATCAGAGCTGCAGGGCCATTGGAATTAAATCAATTATTAAAGTCTCCAAAAATAAACCTCTTGGAGGCATGATTCCTAAAATGCTTCCCTTGACCTTTGGGGTGTCTTGTGATTTCATAAATCCTGTTTTGAAATAAGAACGTTGTGAAACAAGTTTTGAATCCATCAAAGGAAAGTGTTCGACATGTCTTCTTTCACCAGGTGATCAAATACGGTGAGCCTCTGGACGAGCTTCAGAGAGACGAGCTGCGGACGGCGGTGGAAAAGCTGAGGAGGCAAATGCTGAGGAAGAGCCGGGAATACGACTGCCAGATCCTCCAGGAGAGGATGGAACTGCTCCACCAGGCCCACCAGGTCTGCCGGTGTCTGAGTTATTGTGCGAGAAACAGAAGTGCTTTGCAGGGGGATTTGTTTGGCTGGTTCTGAAATGACGCGTTTGTTTTTTTCCACGCGATTGCAGAGAATCCGAGATCTGGAAGACAAGACGGAAATCCAGAGGAGGCAGATTAAAGATCTGGAGGAAAAGGTATGATGTGTTTTATGTCCTCTAAGGAAAAAAAAGAGGTGGTTTAAATTTCTGAACTGTATCATCTCTGAAACTATCCCAGTGATTTTTTTTTACTATAAGGCCATTTGGCATAAGCAGTGAAATAAATGTCATGTTTTGTGGAAATTAGTTTTGTAGAAATGTGGTTTCTACCCCCCCCAATGTTACTAACATATTTCAAGTGGTTCCTCTAATTCCTCTCACACTCTTTGTCCCTTCTCTGTCTTTTTTCCCCCACAGTTTCTATTTCTATTCTTGTTCTTTTCTCTTGCCTTTATCCTTTGGCCTTGAAGTCTTTGGCGTGTCCCGTATCAGAGGTGAGTCCTGTGGACTGACTTTGAGTTCAAACCACCACCATGTCCTTTTCTGCACCTCGGTCAATGATTGTCCGCCTAAAGCAGAGCCAGCGCAGCAGATGCCCTGGCCTTTTTTTTTTTACTGGACCCAGGTTCAAGACCGGGGACATTTTTTTTCCAGAGCGCTTATTCAAGCGACGTTGTTGTTGCATAAGTTAGACTTCCTGAAGAGGCTAAAAGCAGGAAAACAGCTGCTGTTTATGAAGCTTCAAAACTGAATAAAACTGAATGAATAAAGGAAACAAAAGATATACTGTGGTCAAAATTAACCAGACAGAAGAGGCCAAATACACAAAGGACTCCTGCAGCAATACCATACATTACATACTCTACTTGGCCTGTACTTTTGTATGATTATGTAGTGTCTTGATAATAAAAGCTGCACAGAGTCAGTTTTATATCCTACAGCATGATCATGATATGGCTTCCTGCTATCCAGAAATAATGATTATTTGACCTGGGTCATCATGCTTTCCTACGCTACTTTCATCCATACTTACTTACTTTGTCTTTCTTTTTGCTTCATGTAAAATCTCTTCTCTCACCTCTTCCTCCATGTTATCTGAGTGTATAATGAACATCATCATTGTTTTCTTTTCTTTTCTTGTTTGTTTTAAACTGTATTATGTGCTTTAAAGAAAGGATGCTGGACATTTCTTGGGTTTCGTCATTTTCTTTACAGGAAGAAAAATAGAAATTTAGACTTGTTTCGGTCACTAGAGGGCAGCACAATATCCATGTCCACACCCCTTATTCCTAGCACAGCCCAGCACAATATGATATAAGAATGACTGGATTGCCAAATAAAGTGAAATCCAACCTGATTTTGTAAAGCAAAAGACAATTAGAAAAGAGAAAAAAACAACTGCTGATAATAGTCCTGTAAAGCGATCTACAAAAATGCAAAAAACTTTCACCACTCTCCTTTTATCACATAACCTTGTACTTTACTTTACTTCTTTACTAATGATGTTTCTACATAAATCTGAGTATTTGCCACACAATAAATGTTATATTTGATACTAACACACTATTACCTACAGACAGTTTCTTCCTGTTTCTTTAGCAGTTGAAAAAAAACAAAAAAACAAGAAAATCAATCAGAATCTGCACCAAATGTATTCTTATCAAATTAGAGGAACTGGAGGAGTGAAATTTAAAAGAGGACATAACACCCTTAAAGCACCTTGAGGTAATAAAACTATATTCAGCAGATAAACATTATCTGAAAAATGGCCCTGTAATCGATCCATTCGCTGTAGCTGAAAAGGCCTTAAATAAAGATGTTAGTTGCTCCTCTACCTTCGCCCCTAATAATAGGTGACAAATACACGATCCCCACTTTGAATTTATTTTTTTTGTTATTGGTAGCATTGTGACAGACATCAGCCCCTATCCAAGACAGAGCTGGTCTTGATGATATAATCATATTCAAGATTAAAGCTGCTCAGGCAGTATAAACCTTCTTACGTCACTTCTTCAGGTTTTATCCTTCAACTTGTTACTTGTAGTAAGAGCGCAGTGGGTTTAAAACAAAATGGGGTGACTATTTTGATAATGAGGCGGGAAGACATATTTAGATCGATTTTTAAAAATGATCCTTTTGTGTGAGATTTGATCTGTTTGGGCTTTTGTCTTTTCTAATCCTAACTCCTGCTCCTACTCTTTCTTCGCAGGTCCTGTGTCAGCTCGGAAATCTTGATTGTGACTACAGTGTGATGTATTTTCTGGACGAGCCGGTGTGTGTAGCTGTTAGTGTCATAACATCAGTGACTGCTGTTGGTGTGGGTGGACCCGTGGCGCCCGGGCCGATTCACGCTGCAGCCGTTAGTTTTTTATTCATCTTTTTAAATGGGGGTTTGGATTCTCAGGATGCCGCCCGGGATGGCCATTTCAGAGCAGTGTTGGACATCGAATTTTCTCTCTTTTCGAACAGCCGAGAGGGAGGTAACACTATTAGAAACACACCGCTGTGCACGTTTACAGGATACAGTTTACCGACAACGATGCACTTCCAGATGCAAACACACACAAACACATGCTGTGATAGATCCAAACCAAAGCCTGGGAAATGTTCTCTCTGCCATGCAGAGTTATAATATGTCATCCACAATCATTCAACAGCAGCAGAAAACATAAGCAAACGGGAAACTCGTAAACAAGGAAGAAGAAAACAAACCACCAGACCACATATTCTCCTGTTTGTTTTTTTATTCCTTTTTGTTCTGTCCTTTGCTGTCCGAATCCGTTTTCATTCTTCCTTGGATGCGGCCGCTGGGTGCATGGAGGCGAGCAAACTCAGGGCCCGCGTGGGCAGAGGCCGTAGGAGAGAGGCCGGTCTCGGTCAGATAACGACGGGGAGCATTCTGGACACGAACGGTGCTCGAAAAGACCGCTCGCAGTCTCCAGACTTCCTGTAGGGAAAGAGCCGGAAGTCCGCAGCAGACACTGGTGTGCACGGACACTGAGGGCGCACACAGGACACTCAGGTTGACACGTGGTCACTGGACACAGCGAAAGGGACATAAAAGGAGAGAGGAAAGATGCTCGGAGGGGAGGGGTCCAGCTCCTCTTGGCCTGGATCTCCACATGAAAAATCCAGACTGTCAAACTGCTTCTTAACTCTTCTCAAAAGCCAGCAGACTGTAAGAGCCTCACTCTCTGGTTTTCCTTTTTACAACTCCCACCACTCAGATACTGCGTCCCCAGATGTCCACGGAGGAAGGAAAATGTAATATATACATTGTTGATATGTAATGTAATCTAAATTATTATCCGTAGTCTCCCTTTTTATTTAGTGTGAATAGTGACAGTTTTTTTTTTACTCTCTGATGCAGCTTGAACAGTTTATTGTACTTGGCAGTTTGTAAATGACTTCGAAAGGGTATACATTGCTTTGTTTTATTGTGGTGACGGCTGCAAAGATGAGCTTTATTCCCCTCAAAGATCGCACCTAAAGAACTGTCGGAATTTGAATGTGGAAAATGAAACATCTTCCTCTCCTTTTCCCATTCCTGCCCTCTTGTCACATTCATAATACTGGATTTGTTATTCTGCTGGAAACGTGTTGCTCTGCTCGACCAGCAGAGGATGCCCTTTAAACCTGTAAATATTCTCAGACCAGTTTGCAAAGTATCTGCGTCAAAATTCTGGTCCGTAATCGAAAACAGTAACTGTTCTGTTGTCTGTTCTTTCTTGTCGGAAAGTCGAGCAGTTGGATTACGGCTGCGTAAAAAAGCACTTCAGCCTCACCAATTCCACAGTCCCCAAAAAATAATACAGGATGTCTCACTGTCCCTCTTTTTCTTTTCTTTTTTTTTTTTTACTAACCAAAGCTTGTTTTATACTAACAGTCCTCTTTTACTCACTTTGCTCAACACCATCTTGGAGTTTTACCTCTAACAAAGGTAATGGGAGAAAGTGAATGCAACCTGACACCTGCTCCATTTTTTCCCCTGTGACTCTGCAGTAACTCTGCCCAGAGACTGAAATATTTACTAGCTTGTACTCCGTGTACCTTAGCAGGAGGACCTGCCTTCGGCCTGACCCGTGGCTCCGTCCACAGGCTGATTTTCACAGCGTGATCTCTTAACAAAGCAGACAGTAACTACATCCCACTCCATCCGCTTCTGTTTCCACGAGGGGAACGACTGATAGTGTTTTTGGGCTCACTGAGCTAGCTGGCAGTGGTCCTAAATGCACTCAGCCGGTTTTTTCCTCTGTAAGTCTCCTTTTTATGTGGTGGCGATTTCATGCAGATGATGATATATGTTACATTTGTGCATTACATGACATGTAATGTGTACACATAATTTTTATGATTTGACAGAGAAGTTTTTATTTAATGTCTTTTGTCTGTCTTCCAACTACAATAAAATCTCTGCATTTTTTTTTGTTATTAAACAAACTGAGAAATGTCTGAAAGAAAAGAGAAGTCAAAGTCTTTTGACATTAAAGAGAAGTTTTTCTCTGTGTTGATGTGTCGATGGGGAGATTTCTGACCTGTCCTGAGAGGTGTTTCACCATCACCTTTATTATGTTTGTGCTATCAGAGTAATGAAAGCTGTATTCTGTTCATTTATAAAATTGTGTCATGCACTCTTTTTCTTTGTTGCTTAAATAGATTTAAAATTTCTTTACAGAGAGAGTATATGAGGTTATTTAATTTTTTTTTCAAATGTCAAAGAGTTTTATGCATATTTATCATTAACATTCTGCTTGTTCTGGAATGTTTTAAAATGATTCAAATCTCAATATACACATTTTTCAAACATTGAGGCAGTGCATAATTCTAATTTTATCTAGCAAAACAGTGCTATTATCTGGTCATTTAAAAGATTTTGGCTTGCAGAGCTTAGACAAAAGGGTCCCGTCTCATAATATAATCTTTTCCTGAAAAAAAATCAGTTTTTTGGCCGTTAAATCACTGATGGTGTTGCACATCCTTTATTATTATTATTTCTTTTACCATGTGTTAGCAGCTGCCAGAGATCTGCTTTGTTTGACTCAGGAAGAGGAGAACGGGCCACCAGCTGTGGTGTCTGATGGTTGCTCAGACATCTGTTCCATTCTCAACCAACAGACAGAAACATCAGGAGCAGTGTCCCATCTGTCCATCCCTCAACACCATGGGGCAAAGTCAGACATTTCTGCGGCTTTTCACGTTTCCACTGACTTGCAGCTCCATCATGGAGCTCAGTGTTTTCAAGCTTGTGGCACTGTATTTTATGGGAGTACGAAAATCTCTCAGGGAAGGTTTCAGTAGTCTCACAAGCTTGTTAAACAGTGGGCTTTTCCACCTTGTGGTCTTTTTTTTTTTCAAGCTATATGTGACAGAGTCTGTCCAGAATAACAGCCTGTCTTTCCACTTACCGTCCTTGCCAAGCCAGACTAGAACGGTGAGGTCGAGCCTGGTTTTGAGCCGTAGACCGGCCCTGCCAAGGGATATCTGTCATGAAAGCACTTCTATCTGTCCTCCTTTCACCGCTCACAGAGAGGTCAGCTTGTGGACTGACCAAAAGAACAAAACAAACTGCCTTCTGAACCCGTACAAAAAAACAAAATAAAGTTTTGAAGTGTTAAAAATTGTCTTTAGAGTGACTTATTCTGGGTTTTTTTTCTTCGGTCAGCTCTGATTCTTCAGATTATTCATATTTTTATAGCAGATGCCACGCTTTTCCAGCAAAAATCATTTAAGCATGTGACACTTTTTTTTCTTTTGTAGAGAAGTGGGCAGTTTAAAAGTCATGGTTCCATGATGAGTCATCCTGGACAACACGGAAACCCCCGTGCGGCCATTTGTTTAAAAGCCTGGCTCACTGTACAGGATACAGAATTAAAATGACAGCACATCCATCCTTGGAGGCTCTTTAACCTTATTTCAACAGCAGCTGGTCCGGAGCCAAACCCTCCTGGGCGGATACAGCCATCCTGTCTGCTCTTCAGCTCCTTAGCAACAATGACTTGGATCCTCATAGTGGCAGCTCTGTTGTCCGCTCTCACCTCTTTACCTTTTGTTAGGGGGTGAGGAGTCCATAAATAGAGCTAAGCCCTGTGTTCCTGTAATGCAGCAGAAACTATGGAATAAAGTTAAGACGGGTTTTCCCTACCAGCTGTGACTCATTTGCCATTCCTTTATCGTCATTCCCTCATCCTTTTTATAACAATGTGTTCATTTAAGTAGTTCCGAGCTGCTGAATACAGTGATGGTTAGAAGACGAATCTGAATCTAAAATCTGATCTCTAAATAAACCATTTAGTCTGTTTAGCAGGTTTTGTAAAAACATGTATACAAATATGTGTTATCTGTAACACATTTATGTCATCCTAATGTAGTGGTCACAGTATTTCACCTGTTCTTCCTGCTCATGTCTTTACCTATTAAATTATCGGGTTGTCAGTAAATATCAGATATCTACACACAGGTTTTCAGTCATATGTGTGTGTCTGAACGTCACTGCTCAGATCACAACCCTCCCGTAGAAGACAAACATATCTTCCTTCTTAACTAATTGCAGCCCTGTGTTTGTCTACTGGATGTGCTGTGCTCAGTTGAATTGATACAGTCTATAGTGTTGCCGTATGCTGTGTGATTGGAAGTTCTGCTCTCACTTTTTAAGCTCATACGATTTCCAACAAGGAAACCACCATCGCCTCACAGCTAGAGGGTTCTGGGTTTAAGTCCCCGGGGGAACCAGGACCTTTCTATGTGGAGTCTGCATGTTCTCCCTGTGTCTGCGTTGGTTCTCTCCAGGTTCTCCAGCTTCCTCCCACAGTCCAAAAACCTGCATGTTAGGTTGATTGGACATTCCAAATTGCCCCTAAAGTGTGTGTGAGTGTGCGTGGTTGTGTGTCTCTGTGTGGCCCTGCGATGGATTGGGGTACCGTCCAGGGTGTACCCCACTTCTCGCCCATTGACTACAGGGATAGGCTCCAGTCCCCCCCACGACCCCATTAGGGAATAAGCAGTTACAAAAATGGATGGATTTCCAACAAGAAAACAGACGTGTTTGAGGTTTTCAATTAGCAGTTAGTGGGGTGAGGGGTTGGTTATTTCTAGGAACGTTTTCCCGGTCCTCCATTTGTAGCGTTGAATCTTTTAATGACATTTCTTACAGACCTGCCGTGGTCGCTGCTCGCCAGACTTCATGCATTACTGCCTGTCATTTGAGTTAAATCTGACCGACTTGCCTGTGGAACGTTGGCCCACTTACCCCCTTTCTTCAAAGGTCCCAGACGCCGGGAGGCCGTTTGTGCCAAAGCCATGAAAACCAGTGGGCATGAATTTGCCAAAGTCTGTCCTGTCTGCCATCAATCCGTCATGCCTGGATGAACCTGCACTTAAGACCGGCGGTAACACGAGAGCGTTTGTTTTGGACGGGGCATCGGTTTTACCGGCGAGCATCCATTTTTAATATGAGGATGAGGATAGCGTCCTGCTTTGTTCCCGCTTGGCCGTTATTGCTTTAAAAGCCTCATCAGGTCAGAGCAATATACAGTGAGTGTTTTTATTTTTTACTTTCCCCTTGCCTGCTTCATGTCCCAGAGTCGTGGCTGTCTCTCAGAAAGCCCACAGCCAGCAAACTTTCTTTCTCTTTGAACAGATGAACTTAGTTTGACGGTGTTCTATCTAAATGAAATAAACAAGGATTTTTTGAAAATGCTTTGAAGCACACAAATGACATCACTCACACTGAGAGTCAGACAATGTGAGCCCCCCCCCCCCCCCCACTTCCCAGTCACCAGTTCTGTCGTGAGAGCAGGAACAAGGCTATGCTTCAAGACAAACACACTCAGCACAAGCTTTTAAGGACTGTCCTTGTTCTATCACATAATATTTAATTCTGTCTGGGGCAGTTTGGGCAGATGGTGTCAACATGTAAATGTGCAAGCTGGAAAAAATCCACAAAACTGCTCCAGGGGTACAAATTGAAAACAGATTCCGGTTATTTGTCCTCATCCCTCAGCCTCGTTTGACACGAAAGAAAAGCAAAAGTTCTGAAGGAAAGGACAAGGCAGACTTTTTTCCCATAGCATGCTGAATGAGAATGCAGAAGTGAAGAACTGGACTTTGTTCATTCTCCTCCACCATATCTGCGTATTGATTTACTTCCCGTATTTTCGCCAAATCATTCTCAGGCTCAGTTGTTATTTAAAAAGGTATAATGGATGCTTTCTTGCCCCGGACCGGTTTCTTTTGTCAGAGGATACTCGGTGTGAATGGATGTGACTAACCCCCCCCAGCCTGGCCGTATTTCTGTGATGACACGTTGTTGGACGGGACCTGGAGATGTGGCCTGTTTTGTGCTCCGGTTAGGCCTACGGTGGGGCTGACCTTGAGAGTAGTCGGCAGACTGCTCGCTCTCGTTTACACTCTCTCCTCCTCAGATGTGGCACTCAGGCAGCCGGATGGTATTTCTAATCCACCCGATGAAAGTTTCCACCGAAGCTTTCGGCTCACTGTGAAACAAATCTTGCTATGGCGGCCAAACTGCCGAGGGACTGAACTGAACCTTGGGTTCACATCAAACTCCTGATCTTTTTCTTACGTGGTGACGTTTTAGAGGGACAACATAAAGTTAAAGTAGAACATACAGTGGGGGAAATAAGTATTTGACCCCTTGCTGATTTAGCAGATTTGCCCACTTACAAAGAATGCTTATTTTTTCTCATCAGATGGTTATCAATTTTTATAAATTCATATGATGTGATTTTCTGGAATTTTCTTTGGGATTCTGTCTTTCACTGTTAGAATGTACATATGATTAAAGTTATAGATCGTTGCATTCTTTGTAAGTGGGCAAACCTGCAAAATCAGCAAGGGGTCAAATACTTACTTCCCCCACTGTATATTTTTCTAGCCGGTTTTGGCGTATATAGTAGTTTTCTGTTGTTAAAAAACAGAATCAGATTAAAGTATTTTCCTGGGTCAGACAGGAACATGTGCCCATGTGGCCCCGCTCAAACCTGCTGATATCCGGGTGTCGTAATTGCATTCCCGTTTACTGACTGACAGCGTTGGCTCTCGTATCCTTTTGCAGGGGTGCGTCCCTCCGGACTCAGCAGTCTCCCGCTTTGAGACCTGCTGCCCGGAAGCTGCCATCACTGCGTTGCTGACCTCTCTTGTATCTGACGTGCTGTCCGGAGACGTCCCTCGAGGGCCAGGCCAGAACATGGATGATCATTGCCTCTCTAGTGACTTCGAGCGCTACTTTTAAATGCAGTGTTGACCCAACTAAATACCATGAGATGTGCTGAAATGACAGATAAGAACCCTACCAGAGTTTTACCTAGGCACTAGCTCACCTTGTTTATAGGTAAAAGTCAGAAACCATCTATTTATGAGTATTTTGTCTGTGTTTAAACAGGCATACTTGCAGCCTGTTGTTAAGCAAGTGTACATTTTTATGACATATTTTTCCTCTTTTGCGCCGTCTGTGTGTTTTTATCTGTTTATATCCATATAACCACACACCAACTCTCTAAGATCCCGTCCTGTGCACTGGTAAACCACTACCACAGTGCCACCTCTGGCCTCGATTCAACTCCTTCTCGCTTGTCTCCCTCACACACAAACACACACACACGGGCACACACAGAGAGACAGACGCCACTCCGGCACTACTTTCACTGTCTTTCTCGGTCTCTTGGTGCAGGGGGGGGGGACATTCGGCAGACATGGCAGAGCGCAGAGGAAACTGGCAGAAAGCGGAGGACGACCTGCCGGTGTACCTCGCCCGTCCCGGCACGGCGGACCAGGTGCCCCGGCAGAAGCACGGCGGCTTGTTCTGCAGCGTCCAGGACGCGTTCGAGAGCAAAACCATCGACTTTGACGCCCTCAGCGTCGGGCAGAGGGGCTCCCGAACCCCGCGGACCGCCAGAAGGACCGGCGAGGACGCGCGGTCCCCGGCCGGCGAGGACCGGTGCGCCCCAACGGACTCCACGCAAGTTGAGAGCAGAGCCCCCGGAGGTAAAGAGGGGATGCAGGACCCCGGAGAGGAAAAGGTGAGGGGAAGGGAACTTTTTTTTGGTGTGACTGATGGATGTTTAGTAGAGCACGTGGCTGTTTTTTGCCCTCTCTTTCCCTTTTTTTGCGCGTTCTAGAGCGCGTTTTTTCATCTGATGTTGCGATGTTTAAAGGTGCTGATGTTATAGTAGCCGGGTGAAAAAAAGATGATGTTATTTTTGTGACTTCATTAACTTTAAAGCAAACCTTGAAATTCAATTCCACAATCTGCCCATCATCAGTAGGCTTAATGTCTCTAAAATATATATTTTATTCCACTAAGAGAGGCTGGATTTTGAACTGTCATTGTACATAAAACAGACTAATATCAGCAGATTAAAAGGCGTTAATGATTATCCTCAAATGCTAAAAGCGAAAGAAAAACTCAAAACAGTGAAGTTTTTCACATGCACTCTCAGGAGTAAACTTATTAAATGTATTTCAAAAGAGTTATCGCAACATTCACATTTTGTTCCAAAAGAAAGTGGATCACAATAAACTTCAATCAAACAATGAAGGCCTCAGGGCATGGGCATCTTCACTGTGTGGTTGATTAAATGAAGGCCCAATCCAAATGAAAAAGCAACAAGTGTTTTCTGGACATTGATGGAGATGTTTCTGTGTGACAACTGGGGCCTAAAAAGTCAAGGCATCACATTTTCTGTTGCTCTAGAAGAGAAAAGCCTGCAATAAGTCGGTCTGCGAATATGGTTTCCACCAATGGAAGCATGTGAATCTGTACATAGAAAGACAAAGAAAATGAATGAAAATTTTCAAAAAGGTCTATCTCATTAGCAGGAAACCAGAAGAGCCAAAACAATAAAACAATGCTCGTAATGTAGTTAATGTCTCACATAAAATGGGTAGAAACTATTCTGTTTAAAGACTATGTATATTATTATTCAAAGCCTTTATTTCCTCCCATCTAAATCATTCAAATAGTGCTGACCTGAAATAAATGTGAATATATATAAAGGGGAGGTGGTGATTCAGTTCTGATAGTTTCTTGAAATCTGATATTTTTTGTTATCCTGTTGTGTTTGTCATTCCACTAAGTGTCCCATTTGTTTTTAATATGCTTTTTATAGGGATTTTATGGGATGTTGACTAGTGTAGTAATGGATTAGCCATTCCCAGTGCTGAGGAAATCACTCGGAAAACATGATGAAGACATGTGATGACACTTAGTGGACCATAGGTATCTTGTGATTTGCACATACCAAAATGGAAGGAAATTGGAATGAGAAGATGAGTTTGAATTTTCAGCACCACGGATAGAGACACAAACAAAAGGCAGGGCCTGGCCTTTTAGCACCACAGACAGAGATCAATAGAAAACCTCCAGAGCAAATTATTTCTGAGAAATTACAGTAAAAAAAATAGATTTTAGATTTCAGTAGAATTTTTTAATTATTCATGAAAATAAAGTTGAATAAAGAAAAGAACAAAAAAAGAAGTAGTGAATGAGCCTATAAAATGTAATATTACTTTACACTGTCATATGTTTTCATTTGTATCTGACACTTACATTACTGGTAGTTTCCTTTGGCAAAAAGAGCGCATGTGTGTGTACTTATTCATCCAGTGCCTAGTGACACTTGCTTTGAGTGAGAAATTTGGTTCTCCTAATGTCAGAGAGGCTGAGATCATTATGGGCTACAGAACTGATGACTCATGTCTCTCTTGCTCTTCGGCTCTGCAATAAACGCACAGAAACACACACACACACACACACACACACACACACACACACACGTACACACACAAAACTGAGACTGAGAGCACATTGCCAATTAAAATATCACCAGTTAGTCTTTCGGTAACTGCTGTGTTGGTGACACACATCAGCATGACCAAAGCACAATAACATTCATAAGAGGAAGTCATCAGTCATATAAATAAACTGATGCTGTCCTACAATTTGTTGCAGATTAATAAAATGTATCACCCTTCATTACCAATGTTCATCACTTACCAACTAGAATCATTTAGGTCTTTAAATGAAGTTTTTTAAATTATCTTCTGTTGTTTTTGGGAGGAAAAGCTGGAAATAAGAAGCAAATTCAGTATAAAATACCTCACAGTTTTCCAACTTGTGTTTTCTGCTATTTCTGCTTGTGTTATTTCTCTGTTGTACTCTTTGTTGTATTCATCACAGACTCTGCTAAAAGGTATCTGACTGGATGACCTATTGTGAGACTAATACTAGGAGACAGTTTTAAGCCATCATGTTCTCTTTTTGAGTCAGAATATTTCTTGTTAATATTTTTTCCTCAATTTTTAGATTAATTTTTTAATCTACGTAAGTATGAATTTGGAACTCTTGAGTGTGGAATAAAGCCAGTTTCCCACTATGTGGCCTATACTCAAATTACAATATTGAGATTCGGGTGGACTAGATGACTCATCAGAAATCAGCCGTTGGAGAGTTAGGCTTTGTGGACGGTTTTTGCTTGGTTCGGAAACTGTTTCAGAAGCTCATGCTCAAAAAGACAATAGTGACAGGATGTGTTTATTCTTTGTTACATAACCCTCTCAGACTTAACATTAACCTTGTCATTCGAACCGCCCTTTACAAGGATCCTTTGCCTTTCCTTCTACGCCCCTTTCAAGTGCACCAGCTTTTCTTTGGTGTTACATAATTCAAACTCTGAAGGGCATTATCTCATCGTTTATGTTTTCAATCCAAGATGTTATCCCATTTTATGGATATATTAGAATAGGTTCTATGATAGAAAAACCATCTGAAATACTCCTAACCTTTCGGCTTGTGTTGCTGTTGTGTTGTAATAGTTAATGATGATTAGCTTCATTATTATGTCTTATACGCTAATGAGTGCAATGACTTGCTGCAATGGAGTGAATAATGGGGAGTGGTGTGCCAGATGTCCACTGGAACCAGTTAATAGAGGAAGGCCTCCTCCCCCTTCCTTTTTATGTTCCATAAGGGTCCATCCACATGCGAGCACACTCTAGTATGATTGACATAAATGCCACATATGTTTAGATACATTTTATCTCCTCCAAACTGAAACTCCTATTAAAGTGCTTTAAAGAGTTGGGGATAAATGTGAGTACGGTCCCAGATCAGGTTTAATTCAATATTTCTTTATTAAACTACACAGATTCAGTCCTCCAGAATATAAGGGAAATATAGAATCACGTGTAATCAAGGGTTATTTAAGTATTGGACAACAGTGGGACTACTTCTATGCAATACTACTTCTCTCATTTAAAGAGGGTGCTTCTCCCACCACTTTTGGGCCAGTCAGTCGAGGAAACCTGCCGATGTAGACTTGCTAACCTGAGTCATTTCTGCATCCTTGATCTGCCTGCCTCCTGTCTGTCTGTCAGTGTCAGCTGCTTAATGCAGTCTGCAGAGCTAGCAGGGCCCGCTAACATAAGAGTGTGTTGTTAACTCATTCTCCAAAGCCTGCGCATGCTGAGGTAATGCCTTACTGTCTCGCTGCCATGAAAGAACATGTCAGCATGCAGGAAGTATGTATTCATGGAACTAAAGCAGAAGAAAAAACGGTGATAAGTCAAGCATTGTCATAGGTATAAAAGAATATATCAGGTCTAAATAATCTAAATTATCTAAAGTCTCCATTTAGTATTTGCAATATAAACATATTATTCTCTATGAGGTGTTGTCAGAATATCTTACATCTCTGTTTAGGTCCTCTAACCAAAAACTGTGTTAATTGAGGGTTGATTCTCTCAGCAATAGTCATATATACACATGCACACACCTAAACAAATAGACAGACATGCTTTCAAGAGCCTACTCTCGAATCAGCGTCATTAGAGCTGCATTAGGGCTGAGGAGGGGAGTGGTGAGTGAGGAGGGGGTCCACTTTAGGTTCAAACAATGGAGACACATGGCTGGGTGGGGACGCATGGAGAACAGGGAGTGTGTCTGTATGTGTGTGTGTGTGCAGTGAGGTGGATGGGCTCTGTCTCAGCAGCCACACCATATTGCACATCAAAACCATTCACCAGAAGGTGAATGGTGGCAAATATTTATTTCTCAACTTAAACATGAAGGATGTCAACATCACCCGTTTATTTTATTTTTTAGATGAACCAATAGACAACTCATGTTTAGATGCTTTCATGTAACTGTAAGAATATTAAAGCCAATCCTCTGGACTAGAGCACTGACAGAGCAATGATTGTTATTGGGAGAAAGGTTATGGTTGTCACGGACCCCTGGAGGGCGCTGTTACAAACTGTTGTTGTCTCATATTTCCAAAATTTTCTTGACATTGTCATTTCAGCAGTTTAACTCTTGACATAGAACTGAGAGGACTTACAGGGCTTTTCATGTGATAATGCAAGATTAGATTTTTTTTAATCTGTGTTGCTTTTTCATAGTCTTTGCACAAGAAATGAAAAATGAAACATTATTTCCATTTAATAGTGTAAAGGGAGTGCTTTAGTTAGAATATATAATAATATATATATATATATATATATATATATATATATATGTATATATATATCATTTATCAAATATCTTTGGAGGATGTGGTCATGACCCGGCCATACTCTTTCACTGCATGTTATAATGAGATTGACAACAAATTAAAGAAAAACTTCATGACAAAGAACCCCCTTTCTCCCCTACGCCCAATTTTAACATGCAGTTTGACGCTTTAACTTTGCCAAACGACGTCTAATTGAAGTGATGTGCGCATGCCCGAAGGGGCTCCGTGTTCCGCCAACTGCGCCACTGCGCCCTCTGGTGGAAAAACCGCGACACGCCACCCGTCTGGCCAAAGCCTGATGAGGGAGGGGCAGGGCGACCGGAGCACACACACACACGCTCCTACAGCTCACTGCGAGGCACTGAACATCGCACTGACAAGAGGGGCGACCATTCCTTGAAGCTCCCATCCAGGCGAGGGCCGCAGCAGCATCCGCAAAGAGGGGAAATATCCTTGTTTCGAGCGTGGTTTTGTTTTTCTCCAAAAGGCGGAATCGGACAATAAAAGATGTCTTATCAAGGCAAAAAGAACATCCCAAAGATCACGGTGAGTAGAGGAGTTATTTCTGCCTGGTTTGGCTGCAGCAACTTTGATGCGCGCTGTTGCAAATCGCTGCGTTAGGTTTAGGTGCCGACGCAAGCCGGGAGATAAAATCCTACCCTACCCTATCCCCACCGGCTCGGTGTTTGAGAGGGTGTTTCTGTCAGAGGAGGCGAGAACGGTACACCGATCGGGAATTGTAACGAAAAAAACAGAAAAAGAAATGCATGTGCACAATGAAATGGCATGATTGGCTGCCATAGCGACAGCCTGCGCTGGGAGATAAGGCGTTTTCTTAAAGGTGTCCTGCATCCTCTTTGTTGAAGGGATCCATGCCTTTTGCTGAGCCGGCTCGCCCATTTAAAGAAAAGAAAAGCCTGAAATAGCTGAAAATACTGAAATGTTTAGCCGGGGACTTGTACTCTCTACATATCATATAGTTTTAAAAACGCATAAGGATAATTTCATAATGCAATAATGTATCAAAACCTTGAAATAGGACAAACATGTAGTTTTTTTATTTGATTATGGTAACACATAATTTTAATGCTAACTAAATAAACTATAACGTGGAAATGGTATATTCAGAAGCAGGAAGAAACATTAAATGTGTTCAGCCCTTGTGGGGTTAGACTGCTCCACACTTATTGATCCTCTGGCTATTGACCAGGGCTGGTCTCATATGCAGTCCTGTCATTTTGATGCACTGCCTTTTAGCCACACACACACACTCTATGCAGCCCAGCCCTGCCTGCCATGTGTGTGAAGCAAAACCTCTGAACAAAAGTAAGTAGTGTAAAAAAAAAAAATGATGTCCGTGCGCTGCAGACCAGCTCATTGTATCTACAAAGGGCCTAATTTAGTTCCATGTTAAGAATGAAACAAGCCCCCCCTCCCCTTCTTGCAGACAACACAGACAGGGCTTGTGTTGCTGCAGAGAGTGAAAAGGGAGAGGAGGAAAGCAGAGGAAAGGGGGGATGGGGTGGGGTGGGGTGGGGTGGGGGCACACGCCCATTTGTGATGAGCAGTGATTAGCTGAGGTTGGAGTGTTGTAGCGGGGTGTTTGCTGGTTTGCATCCCGAGGAGGAGAGGGGTGGGGGGGGTTGAATTCGGGGCAGGCCGGTGCTGCGCGGCGAGGCAGCTGGGTAGCTGGTGGGTGTTCCGACTGCAGAGAAAACCTCTCCCACTCCCTCTCCGTCTATGCATGGGTGTGTGTGTCTCTGTGTGTGTGTGTGTGAAAATGGGGAGTCTGAAATGCCTGCCCTCCAGTTTTCATTGTTGCAGCTCCGGCTGCAGTCAGGGGTGTGTTGCTGGGTGGCTGGGAGAGACTGCCTTTGTCTCGTCTCCTCAGCAGCTATGACACCGCGCAGGGGGATGTACGGATTCCGTATCTCTTTATTCATTTTCCCTGTGTTATCACTCTTCAAGTAGGACATGTCTCTATATGTGCTGAAATAGGCCAGGGTTGTCTGAGGCAATAGCCTTAATAGGAACAGACACTCAGATCTGATAAACCCCCCTTGTTCAAACAGGGGGAGTAGCTTTCTTTAAAAAATATATTGATGTCCGATACAATGCCGTATGTGTAATTATAGTTACATTTAAAAAGGGATGTAGCATTCTCCCTTAAATAAAGTTATTGACATACCGACAACTAATCTGTCTGTATTTGCGTTGCTCGGTTCAAATGGGGCCAGTATGTTACTTCTGCGTAAGCCCAAAGAAATTCAGCAACGTTGCCTGACAGACACGGGTCGCTTCGTTTTACTGTCATGAGATGACCAAGCGCCGTTTGGTCTCAGCATACCGCGGCCGGTCCAAGCCGTATCATTCTAATATCATACCTACGTCTTTGGGTGAGACCCAGTGGACGCAGAACAAAAACACACCCATGTCCCCTCACTGAAATGCAATGCCTGAAATCCGTCAATGAAGGAGGTCAGGACGGTGGGACAGCATCAAACTTAAGAATGTCTGGGTTTTCTATTTCGAACCACTAATCAGTGCTTTTTTTCTTATTTTAAACATGACCGCAATCGTTTTCTGGCCTGACCGAAGTCTTATTGCTGCGACCATAGTTGCCGAGATCCCGAACTCGAACTGGCAAGAGTAGTCATTTGGACATAAAACCACCGTCTTTCTATGTGAGCAATTGGTTTTGTGCTTGAAACTAACCAACCCTTATCCACAGGATTTTTTAATCTTTCAGCAGTGTTTCGTTACAGTTGGGAGCAGAATGTTGATCTTTGTGTCTAGAAGCCACAGACAATTCTTGTGTGTTGGTGGTTCAACCATAGGAGAATGGCAGTAGGATTGTGTGTTTTCCTGAGTTGTGAATACATTCAAACTTACCTTTGAGTTTCCAATTAAGAAAATACACAAGCTGGTATTCTTCTAGTCACAACAGATTAAGGAAGACAACATTGCCACGAGTAATTCTTGCAATTAAACTACACAAATTGTTTTCTTGTGTCAGCACACTACAATGGCCTCCACTATTCAGACAGGTAGTACTCACACACAAATGTATTGTCAGGGGTATAAAAAATACAATAAAAAAAGCTGGCAACCGCCACCAGTAATTCCGAACCGCTGCTATTTCTGATCCCAATCTCATTTAAGATGGACGGAGTTGAAGTGGAAAAATGTCTTGTGGTCTGAAGATTCAAACTGTCTAATTCTTTTTGGGATTCAAAAACTGCTGCATGGTCTGGGCTAAGGAGAAGGAGGATTTATACAGCTCTAGAACCATAGTTTGAAATCAAGTGTATGATTTTGTACAGAGGTGGACTAGGGATTGTGGCGTGGAAGCCTTCCATATCAGTTCGGATACCATAAATTCAGATTGATAGATGCATCCTTTATACAGCATACTGCCATCCAGATGGCGTTCCTTTTATTGAATGCCTTGCATATTTCAGCAATGCCAAACCACATTCTGCACGTATTGCAGCAACATGGTTTTGTTTTTAAAAAAAGAAAAAGAAGATTATTGGTGCCAAACTGGCCGCCTCGCAGTGAGGGCCTGTCACTCATTCAAAACATTTGACAGATTATGGCAAGAAAAATGAGATAAAGGAAGTCATGAACTCCGGGTCTCCGATATGCAATAACTATCGTGAAATACTTTACAGGAATAGGATACATCCACTGAAGGCCTTACGATGATTAATATGTGTGTTTCTGTTGTATTAAACCCTGATCCCGCACACACCGCCTCCTTTTTATTCCCTCCCACGTCCCTTTTCTCTTCCAGCTGTTTTCAAGTGTCAGCTCCCTGTCAGAACGGCCCTGTCAGATTTCTAGGTGTGGTTCTTGCCTTCCGTCATACCCTACCCTCTCGGAGCAGTGTTGTTCCAGGCTGGTACATGTCGTCAGTAATCCCCCTCCAGCTGGAATGAGCATCTGCGGGCAGGGAAACCGACCCCAGAAGACAGCCGGGGAATCGAACCCGCTCCCCACTGCAGACACACCACAAAACGGCCCACACGCTCACCACGCAGGCTGCAGCAAAGTGGGGGCAAGCGAAAAAAAAAACTGAAAAAAAAAACCTTTTTGGCCACCCAGACCGTGCAATAAGAGTCACCATAGCAACAAATATACAGTTGCGACGGCAGGAAAATGCAGCCCTTGTTTGGGTCCGTTGTGTGATTTGACACACAAATGCGTGCGCTCGGTCACAAACTCCCCAAACGGACATTTCACAGACGTCATGGCTGACACGGTGAGCTTATAATTCAACCTGTATGGCCCAGTCAAGATATATATTTTTTTTCCCCCCCTTGTCAGTTTCCATGGTAACCTGGTTACATTACTCCAGCCTATCACAAGATCAACATTCCAGACAGGCAGGATCTCTTTCTGTCCACGGTGGGTAGGGGGGCCTCCGCAATTAATTCGTAAGGATAAGCCTCATTGTTTTCACTTTTGCAGAATGTGAAAAAAAAAAAAAAAAAAAAAAAGAAATCCTCCACAGTTTTTGGTTAAAGAGTAAATATTTTTGATCGCTAGGCAACGGTGTTGCAGCAGAGGCACTGGTGAACATTCAGGATGACTTCCCTCTTCCACTGGTCCCCGCCCTCCTCCCCACAGCCCCCCCCCACCCACACAAGGGTCTCTGTCAGAGCTAATGGAGGTCGCCTCTAATATCCTCTCGGCCCTTTTCGGCCTTACGCCGCGGCCCCTCCAGTTTTCCAGGAGCTTTCCCGCTAATTAAGTGTCGCGGCGTAGCTATTTAGTTTATTTATTTGCATCTGGGTTTATGAGCTCTTCCCCTTCTCCGGTCCGGGGGAAAGTGGAAAAAGGCCGTCAGTGTGTATCAGCGTGGTAACGCAAGAACAACATCCTGCCTTCTATTTTTGATTACCGCTGGCTTGTGTAACACAAAATGACAGTTTCCTGTCCGGCGAGGGGGCTTTATGATAGGTGCTTTGTTTTTGCTGGGAGCTGAATGATGAGATTTTTTTTTTCTCTCCATCTGAACTTTCTACTCTGTTGTGTCACCGGTAGTTTAACTTGTTAGCACTTGTGAAACGTTGGAGTTGAGTTGAACCGGTAGATCTGAACACTGACTTGAAATATCAGAAATGTTTCAGAAAAGAAAAAGCAGGTAGAGGCACACGTTCCCCTAATAACGCAGGTTTCTAACATCCACCTAAGCTCAGTTTAATGAGGAACATTTTTGAGCGTATGCAGTAATCCGATGCTGTAATCTTGTGCGGTTTTCCTCAGACGGTTGTAATGGGTTTGTGATATTTACATTAAAACGGATCCTTTCCAACGGTCCTGTTTTGAATAGAGCTTAAAAAGCGCTCTGCTGTGCACATTTTCACTCGCGCACATAAATCTCTGGTACCTTTATGGGCCAACTATGTTGAGGTTTATAGATAATTTTAATGATAGAGGTATTTTATTTAGACAATAGCAAATCCAACTTTAGCAAAGTAATTTGAAATCTTAGATTTATATTTTCTTGAAACGGTAACATGTTACACTGAGAGAAAATG